CCTAGAATAGCCCTACTCTAAAATAAGATCTCCAGAGAGCTAAATGAGAACTAATTACATTTTAATTAATATATTAAAAAAGAGAGGATATGATTTTCAATGAGGTCATTTAAGAAAAATAGTTGTAACTTTAGGAATCTCAACCCTACAAACTCTTCAGTCTGTTCATTCGGTTGACATCCAGTGTCTATTCACTTCTTTTTCAGGCTCCAAAATGTCTCATCCAATGTAAGCACAACCATTATTTTTTAAACTTTACGAGGGACCCATAGAGATTTCTGGGCTTCTTTCTTCATTGTGTAATAGTCTTCCCTAATTTTCTATCATATTTTTTCCACACCAGCAGTCCAAAGTCCTCCTGATTTCAGATAGTCTATTCAGTGACATTATTGCTGTGGATTTTCTCTACTTCTCTGGGGGCTTACTTTAAGGGAGGTGCTCAGAAGGAAACAGCCCAGCATAATGTGGAACTAAATTGTCATATTTTCTTGGTTTAAGAATAACAGCTGTGCACTTTCTGGGCATGATATCACCATCTTTTAGCTATTAATGGTGAGAGAGTAAGTGGAATAACCATTTTTCCATCATGGACAAAAATATAATTTGTTTCTTCTGTAAAAAAGACATATATCTTTTTACTTTGAACCTTATTCATTTTAAATCATTTTATTTGTTTCATTTTTTTCCTTAGAAAATTTAGGTTTATTTATTTTTCTTGTGTGACTGTTTTACTTGTATATACATATGTGCACTACAGACTTCTCTGGTGCCCCTTGTGGTCAGACGAGAAAGCATAGGCTCTCCTGGTGTTGGAGACTTATAAGAAGGTGATCTAAATGAAATCACCAAATATCAGGGGAGACACAGTCCCAACTGGACATTTCTCATCACCAAATGAAGTTTCCAGTGCTGGGAATGGGTTACAGCTAATACATTTGTTGGCCAAAAGGATACCCTAGGAACCCTCAGACCATAACAGGCTATTGCCAAGGCTGTTGGTGGCTCTCCTCAAACTGACAGTAAGACTCTGTTGCTGAAGACAACACCTACACAATTCACTGAAAGTGCAGACGTCAAGCCAGTAGCCACCTAGAGCCTTTACCCATATGGACTAAAATTCACAGTTCCGCAAGGTTCCCTGCATGCTACCAATTGAGAAAAGTGAACTCAAACCCCCAGCTGCAAATACTTTGATCGACAAGAATGAGAAGTCTACAAGTTACAGTGGTGCAATAGTAGCACAGAGCTTGTGGGAGTAACAAACCAGTGTATTATCTGAGTTAAGGTCCACTCCATGAGATGAAACCTTTATTATACTCTGCTTGTGTGGCCAAGAACCTATATTATATACTGCTTGTATGGCCAAGAACCTATATTATACACTGCTTGTGTGGCCAAGAACCTATATTATACACTGCTTGT